CCTATCACGAATGTATTGATTGTCCAAAAGAGCTTTTATTAAGAAACTTGCACAATTTTTTTTGGTTGTAAAAGAGGCTTACAATGTTGAAAATTTAACCTCTTGAAAGTATGAAATGGGTTCTATGAAGGAGTGAATGGCTAAAAGAACGCTTGGTTTTTTCTAATGTTTTAAAATTCAGCTCAGGTAAACAAGGGCAAAACATACCCATAAACTCAATAAAAATGTATATAAAAAAGACTACTAAAATAATTAAAAATCACAAGAAACCAAACAAGGTATAGATATCATTTAGAAACTATAAAATATGAAAAAGAAATATACAAAAGATGGATTATTGAAAATTTTGATTTATACATTAAACTATTTCAAAAACATTTAACAAAAAGAAAAATAAAAAAACAGTTCATGTCATAAGAAAGTACCCAAATCATCATAAAACAATAAAAATCGTGTAACAATTTATTTTTCAAAGATATTATAGTGATTTTCAACAAAAATTGTCTTTTTAATGTTTTCAACCTTGGAAGTTGTTAACTGGAACTCACCTCGGTCAAGTCTGAGTAACTCAAAATCGGCCAAAGTCCAACACTTCACATTTGTATGCACACGCAGCAGAATGGTCAAAAAATATAAAAAATCTAATGCAAAAAAAAATATAATGACCTAATCACCCAGAGAAAAACAAGGAGGAAATAATCTCATAAACCATTAAGTTGCAAGAGGTTTCATAAAATTTATTTAGAACTTGTGGAGTTCTATTGTCAATTTATTTTTCCTTTTCTCTAATGCATCAATTGCAATGAAATAATGCATCAATTGCAATGAAAAGTAAATACACTGCTAAAACAACTATGGAATTGATCTGCAGATTGCATAAATATGGTTAGGCCCATTTAGCCAGGAGAGACATTCCACCCGCTCCTAGTAAAACTGCAACATAAGCGAAACCTTGGAGCTTAGGATTGCTTTGAAACCTTGGTCCCATGAAATCTGAAGCCAAGAGATCCACCAGAGCCATGTATGCAGTTAAGAAGCCCAGCTGAAGCCGCATTTAAAATGCCGACCACAATGAGAGCTGTAGGGCTACTCTCACTATACACATTTGATAATCCAATCCCTAGTGCTACTCCAAAGGGGGTTGTCACTGCAAAAAAGAACACCATGATCGCCTTCATTGTGGTTCGATACTCTGCCTGCGATCATATCAGATGTCTAACCAAATTAGATTATGCATACACATATATGTACATATGTGTGTTATAGATGATTACACATGCAGATACTTGTGCATGCGGCTAGCAAGCAATACAACTAAAATGTAACTATACATGCATACATACATACATACATACATCCATAAGACAAAAATAAATACATGTCTACATTGTAGATGAATAAATATGTATCCATATTATGTGTCTGATCTGTGTGCTTTGTTAGAATATCCCCTCTAATTCATCTTTTTGAGGTGAATTGAGGATAAATATACAAAAATTATTGTTTAGTTTCATAAAATTGTGGGGGATAAATTATTGTTTAGTTTCATAAAATTGTGGGGGGAGAAGGAGAAGGAGAAGGAGAGAGAGAAACCTGAAGTATGGAGCCACCAAGACCCATTCCTTCGAAGAGTTGATGGAAGCAAAGAGCCGCCACCAGAGACCTGATAGTGCATGGATTTTGTGAAGCTCCCATCCCCAGTCCTATCACCACCGAATGCACCACGATCCCAAATTCCAATACCTAAAAAACCATTCACTTTCTTTTAGGTTAATCAACTAAACATTTATGTTTTAACCCAATTTAACTTGCACTAAATCAAAATTCTTGTACTATGATTATCACAACAAATAGTCGATTCCTTATGGATAGGGTAATTTAAAAGAAATTTAAAAGTAAAACTCATCACATATGGCCCCAAAAGAAATTTAAAAGTCAAACTCATCACATATTTTGTAATGTTCAGTCCCTTTCTATGGAAGAGGTTAGACTTGTGATTAAACATAAACATAAGTTCAAAAGAGAATTTGTACAACAAACCAAATTTAAAAGAAAATCACTTCTTTTTTTTTTCATTGCTTCTACTTCATGTATTTCAAGAATTTCTCTAGAGCTGAACTGATCAAAGGCTCATCCCAAAAATGCAGGGAGAACAAAATCAAGCCTGAGCAACAACCCTGTAGCGGAGATTGGAAGTTGCAGAGCCATTCCCTAGTACAAGGGAATCCCCATGGCCATGGCTATGGGTCATGGCCTTCATCTCACCCATTTCCATTTGTTGTCACCAAGCTCTCCTTCTTCTCCCCGGCCCTCCGATAAAAGCTGGTGGCAAACGACTCCACCATCAATGTAATGACAACGGATAGCATCGCAACAAAAGTCGTGAACGGGAACTTCCTCCATGGATTCTCCGGCAAACACACAGAATTGAGGTTGTTGAACGAGTCAGGCAACACGTACATGTAACAAGTAGCTAGTATGACACCGGCCACGAAGGCCTTAACCACATAAAATGCATTCTTATCAGGATTCAGGGCGGGTACTGCTCGATTGAACAGAGGCAAACACACACCGATCATACTGCTGACCAAGATGGATGCAATGGCAATCAGTTTGAGGCGCATTGCCTCGCTTTTGCCGTAGCACTGACCGGTCTAGCGTTCGCACCTTTGTGTCTCCTCCCCTAGTGCTCTGGTGGGAAGGGAGGCCAAAACTAAAAAGAAGAAGAAGAAACATGATATAGGAGCATAAACCCTAAAACCCATCTCAACCCAACCTTTGTTTGGATTTTCTCTTAGAGCTTGGTGGGTGTGGTGTAGGCCTCTACAACAGTCAATGGTTTCTTTCACTAAAAGCTTGCACTCACTCACTAATGGCAATGCTAAGCTTTCTCTAATGGCAATGCAAAGTGGTGTCATAAGTAAGGGGTTCTTGTTGAAAATGAAGTGCTAGGATTAGAAATTACTTGATTTTAGGAGACACTCGTTTAACGTGAGATTTGGTGCAGGTTGGTCAGTTGGGAGAGGGGTGATCTACGCCGTGAAATTGGGAATGGGTGCGAGGGCAGCTGTCGGATGAAGGCAAGGATGAGGTGGAGGCACGTGGTTGTTGGGAGAAAAAGTGTGGCGACATGTGCCGAAGTGGACCCGCATTTGAGTACCACGTCGACTGTCCACATCGTGGCACATGTCTCAAATAAGTTACTTGACAAAGAGGGAGTGAAGTTTCCATTTTTAAAACAAAAATCCCCTAAAATTATCAATCGCAAACCTCTCTCTCTCTCTCTCTCTCAATGTGGTTTCTCTCCCTTTGCCTTTCAATTTTTCTCTCTCTCAATTTGCTCTCTCTCCACAATCATAGTCTTATTAAATATATGAAATAAAGAGATAATGATATATATATAACTAGATATCTAAGAGAGTGAATTCGCATATCAATTTTATTTTTCTATTATCTTTTTCTTTTTATTAGATATGCATTCTAATTTCTTAAAAAATGATCTTTAATTAGAAAAATACTAGATATACATGCAAATTTTTTTAAAATGATCCTTTTTTTATCCCTCTCTTTTCACATTTAAAACTAACATTTCCTCTCTCTCTCTCTCTTTGGACTTGCTTGTTTTTCTTAAAGCATTATTTCATAAAGTATTCTTTCAAATTTTAAAAAAGTTGTGTTTATTTCACACTTTTCATGAAAAGTTCAAAAACTAATTGTTCAACAAAAATTCGCATTCCTTTGTTAAAAAGTAAAAGATTAATTTTTGTTGAACAATTAG